AAATTAACGATCTCCCACCCCAGGAGCGAAACTCACACCCAACCACCTCCTCCTCATCAACAATGCCTTGCGCCTGTGAACAAAACCGAATGGGCTAATCCAAACATTCACCGTCTACAATGCATGGTTAATGGTTGCGACAACTAAAACTGATTATCTTGCAAGGAAGTTGGGGGAGGAAAAATTTAGAATAAATGATGAATTTCACCCCAAACAGAATGAGAGCTGTTAGAAAGCGGTTTGGTAAGATTTCACTTTGATTTTGACAAAGCATGGTATTAGAATAACTAGGCAAACTGAACAGAACTGTACTACTACTATCTGTTATATATTTCCACCCCGCCTCTCCTTCTCACCATTTGATAGCTTGGTGATAGGAAGGAGTTCACGGTTCGTGTGAGTTCCGCTTTCCGAGTCTATTTGGCCCAAACAGAATTGGAATTGCAGGTGTGGCTGTTGTGGACCACTCGTAGCACGGATGAATTGATCGCATTGGATCGATCCGATCAGGAGCTTCGTTCGGATCGTGTGAAATTGGGTTGCGAGTAAGTGATCTCATTCACCCTAGCTGATTTCCTTTTTGCTTGTTCGTATTGCTCCGGAGCACCCAGTCATTCGCTGTGAATACGATAAGGAACGAAGAACAAATTTGCTACTTAGACAGTTACATTTCCTCTGGTGTCGAATCACTGATGGAGTCTGGATCCATTTACAGAATTCTCTCGTTTGCTGTTTGGCAGTTTGAAGTGTTCATAGCATCTTCACGACATTAAGTTTTCCGTTTAGAAGCTGTAATGCATAGTGTAGCGGTCCCGTCAAGTTATACTGTATTTTGATATGACCGCTACATGCGGGAGAGAAAGACAATTTATCAGTTTCCGAACACAGTTGTCTACGCAGTCAAAGTCAAATTTTTACCATGGAAAATACTTACTAGCGGTTGCTTTTCTAGTCCCATAGAGTTTAGTACAGATGAATCGATTCACGGTTCATAGAAAGTTGAGGAATGTCACAACTTATCCTTGTTTCATGCACTGCCACGGATGTTGGAATTCAAGACTTGTCAAAGCTTCATCCAGCTGTGCTTGAAGGAATCAATTATGAGCGCAGAAACAACGTGTGGCGGTAGAGAATCCTAGGTATTGCGCACTTTGAAGGCTAAAGAATGACACAGGCATTTTAGTCGGCATTTTTGGAGCACTAATTTGAATGAGTGCCCCCTCCCCTTGAGGTGAGTGTTGGGTGACAAGGCAAAGATTGAACGACATGGATGATCTGGGTTCTGCATTATTTGATAAATCAGGATCAAGTCCCCTCGAACGCGGTGATACTATGTGGAGTACAATTGCAGTGATTCCAGTCTTTCCGCATAACTCTCGGAATGCAGTTCCTTGACTATTTTGGTGGGCATTCTTTGTGGACGTTCCAGAATCTTCCGATCGCGTTGCAGTCATGTATTCCACGCTTGAATTGCATACTTCATGTGGGACCGAATGTAGACTGGTAACAACCGTGGAAACAGCTTAGGTTCAAATTTACCAAATACTCGCTTTAGCAAGCCATGTCTTACAGCGGTGGATGACGCCCTGGAGGAGTTTAGCAATTTAGGTCATCTTGGACAATGACACCGAGATTCTTCTCATTCGAGATATATGCAAGTTGTTGATCTCCCAGGAAATACGGGAACCGAGTTTTATGTCAGAGGATCGCACAGCTATGCTAAGTTGACGACGAATCGAGTAATGCTGAGGTTAGATAATATTCATAATAGTCTAATCTGGCAGCGCTTTAGCCTGTGGGCTACTATTGTATTGAAATGCGTTGTCCATATCCCCAGGTAGAAATGTTTGTCACATGGGACAAGCGTGATCGGACTGTACATGCTGTTGAACATGTGGAGATCTGGACAGGTGACCTCAGTTCAGTGTTGGAGTTTGTACAACACAACACATTGCAATTCCTTTCTTGCACTGGTTTTGGTTGCTGCATGTTGACAGCCACATCACATCACCCGCGCTTATAGCCTTTGTATAGGGTAGGCTTCTATAGTTTGGATACCTGGGGACCGCCCGATCTACGGTCTCGTTACCCGTGCTGACTTTCCTCATGCATCTAGTTTTCTCATACTGTCCGCGATAGCTCCGGGACACACAAGTGACCGTAGCCTAGCTCCTCGAAGGATGAGCAGCCGAAAGAAAGCAGCCAAAACCGGCGCACAAAAGTGCATAAATAATGGTTATACAAACTAAACTAAAACTAAACTAGCTTATCTGCTATTTATTCGTGAAAAGCCCAGCATCCGTAGATTATCTTTTGCTTCTCTACAGTTGAGAACACAGTCCATTTTCATCTAAATTTGAACCTGTTTGTGAGAGAGAAAGAGAGTTTTGTTACGTATGACCAAGGTCATATCATGGATGCGTCCATTCTGATGTATACGACATTAGCTCATTTGGGATTCGTGATAAAAAATTTGAAATGAATGAGTGTTTTTTATCTGTTTCTCTTCCTAGACCACCAAGTCCTCGTCACGTTGGCTCCGCACGGATTCCCCTTGCTCATTTGTTGCACAAGCCTTCAGCATTTACAGGTTCGGATGATACACTCGCAGCAACTAATCCGCACGTGGATGTTGGTTCCCACTCTCCAGCAGGCCCTTGTACATCAGTTACTATTCGAGGTGATCCATCTGGTTTGAGCTGGTGGCGGAATCGCCGATTCACAGCGGAGCAACGAACGCTCGGACCTTCGTACCCCGTGTTCCCTTTGTATAGGGCGGATGCGAAGGATCTCTCACACACCTGGTTAGTCGCCCGATTGGAAATGCGTGGCTCCCGCACACAGATGCGAACACACGTGAGTTTCACAGCATCGAAATGTGCATTTGTAGACTGTTCTTTTTTCTGTTTTAATGCGGTTCACCCTACTGTCGATCACATCCGTTTCCAAATCTGGGCTGAACACGCCCATCTCTTTTTGAGGACTCAATATAACTATGAGATCCAAGTTGAGCTTGAGGTCTAATAGAAACACAGACTATCTCCTTCCAGTTTGTGTTGTATTTTTCACGCCTCTGAATCCGTGTGTGCTAACCAAATCATAGTGTAGTATGCAAGACCGACCCCAGCTCGGATTCCACTCGAAGCACTAGAAAGAGATTGACTCCGGGCAACGCGGTTCGAGTTGTTATACCTCCAGTGTCGTCCCAAAAGGCCGCACACAATCCTTGGTCACTCATACACGCTCTCAATGCACAGGTAGGACAGACACACTTCCGACAGTAGAGTCTCCGTGGCGGGACTTGGAAACAATCTGAAATCCAAAGAAAATCCAAAAGCAACTAGAAACCAAAGGCTCAGTAAGACATACACACTATTCACACTCAATTCAAAATGGCTGCGTTCGAGCCTTCATCACAAAAGCACAATAATTTTTATAAGAAAGAAAAAAGTTCAATTATTTGTTTGTTCTTGTAATACTGCCAGGTTGCCCAGGTCAACAGGTGAATTTTCTTGAGGAGTTCACAACTGTAGCCTTCGGTTAGCTGAAGCCTGGCACGTAAGGCAACGAGGTGGTGTGTCAAAAACGCAATCCATTGGGTTTCGGCGTCCAATTGATCGGATCATACGCCCTTTGCACGGGGTCAAATGTCCAAGGTGTCCAATAGACCTCGATACCCAATCGAGCCGGTGAGCCCTGCCACAGCCAAGAAGGTGTGTGAGTGTGGTCCGTACACCTCTTCTTGGTTTGTTTGCAATCGGGGTTTTTATTCTAATTCCCTAGGTGAACTACCAGGGGTTCCACGACCCGACTGTAGGATATTGGCTTTTCGTCCTCTCAATATGGTAAGGGAAAACAACTCCGCCACGAGAAGGCAGTGAGTAGGGCTTTCTCAGCCCTGGTATGGGAGCATTTCGCCAGGTGCAAGAGAAGGTTTATCAGCCACAACCCTAGACACCTACCCCGCCCATACTGAGGCTTTTGGAGGCTCCAGTTTGAACGATTTCTTCCATTGCTGAACACCGCTGTTCGATGAAAGGGTGCAGAAAACCGTCATCCGCGTTGCCTATGTAGTTGATGCTTTCTTCTCTGAGCTATCGCATAAGTCGTGCAACCGAGCGTATTCGTGTAACCGGAGACTTCTATGTGCATGCGGTATAACTAGGAGATCGCGACTGGCTCCACTTACCTATCAGCTGGTGAACTGGTCACATTTCATCAATTCCTTTCCAGACGTTCATACCGTGCATGGGTTCCACGGTCGATGGCATGGATCCAATTCGGTACTTCGCACAATATGGTCGTTTCTCACAACGTTAATTGAAGTCTCTCTTGTCATCAACCTTCTTAAGTTACAGATATGATTTCCCGGCCCTCTGAGTTACCATACATCTAATCTTTGATATTAACCGCACATCTATTTGAGATTGACTTCAATGTCTCTAATCGGAAGGCATGAAAAGCAGTTATGTTTTAGTTCGTACAGCCGTTAACCATAAATTTTCACGCGCCGGTTTTGGCGACCCATTTGGATGAAAGGGCAGAATGAAGGTTGATATATGGAGCGCAGAGTCAAAGTGAAGATAGAGAATTCATGTAGATTTGGGTTGCTAGAATAATGGATAGTTGAGTAGAGTGCCGGTGTTTGTGACAACCAGCCATATCACTCTGTGTCTGTAATCACCGGTTACCGAGCTACATGATCGACTGTAGACACCTTGATCGCATCACTATACATGAACTGAATAATAATATTTTGGCTACTCCATTGGGATTAACACAAAACGTTTTGTTGTTAACCTCGCTTCTCAAGCAACAACGCCTTGTCCCGCTGTGTTGTATACTCACAAAAAAATGTTTTGATGGAGGGCTTGCTCTTTTTGGGCACAATTACAAGGAATATCGTGAATGAACAACAGTTATACACGCGAAGTGATACATGCCAGATGTATTGTTAATCATCGGATTTCGCTACTCCTGACCGGTTTTATCTACGTCTACGTTGCGCACTGCATGATAATGAGGGCTAAAGGTGTCTCAGGTCAAACTAAACCCTATCAGTGAATGAAGCAACAAACAAAAAAATGTGGAAATTGTCATCAGTACCGGACTTGTTGAGACCAATCCAGGTTCCGGGTCGGGAAATCACGAGTGAATCATTTAGCTGACTAGTTTGTTTCCTCGAAAACGTTTTTGTCGATCTCTTTGAAACGATGTTTGGTTCGGTTTTCGAAACACGAAAAACTGTCAACTTTTCTGTTGAACATCTGTCTATTTTCATTAGGAACAGAGAAAAGCGATCCCTTCCTCTCTCGGGTAGAAATCAAACTAGAACACCCGATCAGCAGTAGTAGTCTTCCAGCCACGACGTGTTATTGTTGTCGTTGGTCACGTCTATTGGTGCTTTCTGTGTACCGGCAGGGTTTTTTACCCAAGCGCGTAGTTCTTATCTGTGAATGTGAAAGAAAGTCAGTAGTAAAGCGATAAAACCGCATTTCTGATTGGCAAATGTTTAAAGACAACGCGAGTCGGTTGGCAAAACGTTTATTGATTCAGTTCAAAAGCAACTGGTGTATGCGTGCAGTTATATACAATCAATTCTTAACCACGCGGCAGGATGATTCATGCCTCGTTCTATTGGTCAATCCCTGTTGGTTTTGGTTTGCACTTGGCACATACGTTGCCTCTTCTTCCGCGTGCCGTTCCCACTAGTTTAACCCGATCGTAGTGCGAGATGCGTTGATCGACAGCTCCGACGTCGTGGTAGTCGGCGGATATCTTTCTGGCTAGATGCGGATTGCCTGTCGGGCTGTAATTGTCGATTCGTTCGTTTCGAGTGGTAGTCAACATTGTCTCGCGAAGTTCTTCCAGCCGCTACGTCTGTGCATCTGGTTGGATGGGCCTTATTCTTGATCCGTTCTCTAGCCGGGGCTCCCTTTGTACCACCTTCCTTCACAGATGTACTGCACGGGAAGAGGGATAAACGAAAATACTTCTAAGAAGTGGATTTAGCAACCGACTATTTTATGGCCCTCAAAACTTTGGTAGGTGCTGTTCAGTAAGTGTGCTGTTAAAGTTAAATTTTGTGTTCTTTTTTGCTGGTCCTTGAAAATCCTGAATGTTTGTCTTTCTTCAACACTGGTCCAAAAACTCCAAGGATTGATACAACAATCAGCTATTCTGTTTTCTTCGAAGCGTTCGTTAAAAATACCGCAAAGACTTCTGCTCTATATATGACCCATGGTGCTTTGAAGGGGTATGGGGGGGGGGGGG